CGAGCGGACGAGCGCCAAGCTCGCACGCTGTTTAAACGCTGCCGGGCAGCATACAGAATCGCTAGTGTGTCCTAAGCTAGCTGTGCCTGTCACAGGCAGACACGATAACACGCCAAGCATGCACTGCGGTGTAAATTTGCACTGTGATTGTCTGAAAAAAAATGCTATACAAATTTATCCAATTGCTATGCAAAATTTATTTTGTATAGCACATTTGCTTTGCAAATTTTTGGCTGGAAATTGTTCCCTGCAAGGTATAGTTAATTGAAATGTAAACTTTTTGGGTGACCTATTTTCAGCACGTTTTACTTTTATCGTTTAAAGCAGTTTTATTGCATAAACTGGAAATAACATTTATGACGGTGACCCCTCCCTACGTAACTATCTGCCAACACTGTCAATTTTCACAGAACTAAAGAAGAATCCATCCGAGGGATTTTCAGCAGGACTAATAGATGACAACGATATATACAAATGGGAGGTGCTGATTATTGGACCACCCGATACACTTTAGTAAGTATCTGAGTGCAGGATAAGTGAGATGTGAGAGCTGCTTTTATCAAATACATGGCTTTAGTTTCATATAATAGTTTTTAAGTCGCAGCTAATGCTAAAAATCTATTATGTTTCCCTTAGGGGGCACATGTCACTCATTGCTCTGATTTGGTTAAACAGACCAGTCTTTACAGTTTTAAACAACTGACGCTTGCATTATGAGAAAAGAAGATGAGTTCTAAATTAGGGTAGTGTATATTAGTAGTTAAAGTGTCTACGTCACGAATCTCCTGAAATTTATAGTTGAAACCTTGTTTTTGTAATTTTTCTACATCAAAAGTTAGTACTAACGTTACTAAATATATCCTCAAACTCTCACCTGATAAAAATGTTTTTACGTTGGTTAAATTTGCAAAAATGTTGACGATTTGAATTAGTGTTGTCTAACACTATTTACCCAGAACTGGCGTCTCTCGGTTGCTGTACTGGTTGCTGTGGTCGATGTTATCGTGATTTGTGTATGGTGCACAAAGTGGTGCCCAAACAGTTTCTGTTTTGATTTGTGTTAGCTATATAGAATATAGGAAAAATAAATAATATATGTTCATGTGTATTATGTTTGAAAGAATTATAAATTAAACTGCGAAATGCTATTTGTGTTTTTTTAATTTCTGCCAACAAAAATGTTTGCGACATTCCCCTTCACGATAGATCAGAGGATAAATCAACTAAACGATAAACAATGGTGGGCAGACCAGTTCAATTCAGTGCATCGGAAAGAAAACGAAGGAGAAAAAAGCAGAAAGAAGATTATATGAGAAACTCCCGCTTAAGTTTACAAGGAATTTCCATGGCTGCCACAATAATTTTGCTAATGCCTCGTTTACCGCAGATGTTCGCTATATTGGCTAGCTGCGTCTGGGCGCCACGCAAGAGTTTCGAATTAATGGCGGTTGTGTTTGTTTCGAGCGTTTGGTTACATCGAATGCACCGGCAAATTAGGGAGTATAAAGAAGGTATATAAGCATGAAAAGTAAACAGAAACGCTAATTGTATTTTCATACATTTTATTTTGTACAAATAACACAAATATACTACTTGCTGGTGCTAGAAATTCGTGACGTAGACAGTTTAAACAAAACCATTCATTTTTAGCTCACCTTGACATCGTCAAGCTGAGCTATTGCCATGGGTCGTCGTCCGTCGTACGTCCGTCCGTCCGTCCGTCCGTCAACATTTGGTTTCAGTCAACGATAACTCAGGAACCGTTTGACCCACATGGTTGAAATTGGGTGTAGTTGTTACTGCTATGCTCCCATATGGAACGTCCTATTTTGGAGCACGCCAGTCGGCGTACTTTCGAGCCACGGCAATTTTTTTGGAAAAATGGAAATTGCCATTAGTCAGTTCAGGTTCAACAGATTTTGCTCATTTTTGGTATGTGAATGAATAAGGGCTAGGGGTTTTGATATTTAAAAAAAAAATATGCAAATTAGGTACGGGTTTGGCAATTATTTAGCATATTATATAAACACAAACCGTCTGTGGTGTCACACTCGTCTGGTTCGTTTTACAAGATTTCATTGACAATATCTTTAATGCAAAATTGGTATTCTCTCTCCACACTGCTGATAAAACGTCTATATTAGAATAAAGATTGACAAAACATGTCGGAACGCAGCATAACCTAGCTATTTATTTCGAATGCCATCGTTACAAAGTGGGTGTAGCGCGCCATCTATGGTCACAAATTGTGATTCATTTTGGTTTATAATTATTATTTGTGATAAACAGATGGCAATCGGTTCTATAATTGTACGTCGATGGTTGCTCAATTAAAACTGACTTCTTCTTACTCAATCATTTGTGTCCTTTTTTGTGGTGAGCTACAGTGTCATTGACACTTTCATTGACTGTATGGTTATAATGTAGACTAGCAAAGTACCCGTCCTTCGGACGGTTGGAATTTATGAATGAGTGTATTAGTGTTGTCAGCTCACCTAAGGATTAAGGGCGTCTTTTTGATAAGTATGTTTTTGGTCTTGTGTGCTGTGTGTGAATAAACATCGCCGTGGGCTTTGCCTACTTGTCAGAGGGCAACATAGAGGCATGCCATGGGAGAAAACAGGTGTGGTCAGGTCCAAGCCTATGGTAGTGAAAATCTGTCGTTGGGCTTTGTTTATTGTCATAGCATATCAAAGCCGGATAGGGAATTGCAGTCTTTTAAATTGAAATGGAAGATCTGATGCTGAAGGGATGAGTGATATGCGTGGTATGAATACGGTTTTGCCAGTTGCTAGTCCATGTGGGATGACGACGTCTATGACGTTGGCATGGCAGGCTGTGAGTCGATAACGTGTTCCACTGTGATGTTGGGCTGGGTCTAAAGATCTGAGGACAATGATGGGGGAACCAAGTTTAAGAGTACGTTTGTGTGGTGGTAAGCTTGCGGTATTAAGGGAATTCAAGAAATCCACAGGGAAATGGGAAGCTTCGTTGACAGTTAGAGTCGAGTCCGATAGACCCTTCCAAAAAAGTGGCACATTGTCGTGATATTGACATATATCGCAGGGGGAGTCCCCATGAGAGGAAATTCCTTAACTTAAAAATAACTTAGCTAATAAAAATTCGCTGTTTCCCTTTTTATAGTATACATTTTAAATAATATATTTTAAATATGCATATATATTCTAGGATAAAGAAAGAAGTTGCGCGCCTGGCGAGAAATAAATGTTTTTTTTATTTCCGCGACTGTCGAGTTTTCAAACTCACGACCCCCTAACGTATGAGGAAAGCGTGCTACCCTATGGTGCTACCAATGCGCCACAGCGCAAGCTGGCAACGACGCGTATACTACATTGGTTAATCGTAGTCGCTTCAATACACCGGTATGCTATTTTTAGCTCAGTGTTAAATAAAACGGCTTCGAATTGACTTTATCCTGTTTTCATCCATTGCAATAAGTGCGGTTACCCTATGAGTGGTAATGCATCGTTTACAGTCCGAGCAATTTAAATCATGCGAGGCAGATTCAGAGAACATAGCTCCACAGCGCAAAGCTGTCAACAACACGTACTACTATCGTACGGTAGTGACGTCGATCGATATACGGTATGGTATCGGTACACAGTGTTAAATAAAATGGTTTAAATTCAACTTTATCGTGTTTTCATCGTTGAAAAAGTGCGCAATATTACTGTATGAGTGGTAATGCATCGTTTACAGTCGAAGGCAATTTTAAATCATGCGAGCAGATTCCGAGAAACATAGCTCCACAGCGCGAAGCTGTCAACAACACGTACTACATTCGTACGGTAGGGACGTCGATCGATATACCGGTATGGTACGGTACACCAGTGTTAAATAAAACGGCTTTAAATTCAACTTATCGTGTTTTCATCGTTGAAAAAGTGCGGCCAATATTACTGTATGGGTGGTAATGCATCGTTTACAGTCAGGCAGTTTGAAAATCATCAGCAGATTCAAGAGAACATAGCTAACAAAAAATGGGCTGTTCCCGTTTTATAGTATAGATACAATAATGTAACCCAAACGC